GTTCCTACCTATGGGACAAGTTATTAAGCGGATTCTTTGTTTCTTCACCAACAGGGTCCCGCGCGAAAAATTATATAATATTCATTTTATTCTCCCTTTATACTTTAACAAAGTTCAAAAAAAAAAAAAAAAGAATTACTAAATATGAATTTCTTTATCTCCTTTTAAATAATTATGTGTTGTGAATATTAAATTTAAAATTAATTAATAATAAATAAAGTAATTTATAATAAATTTAAATTTACCTAATTTTTCCTTAAATAATTGGTGCAAGATTTTTTTTCACACACTTAACACAAGTAGCTAGTTAGGGATGACGAAGAAGGGAGTAACCATTTCAATTAATCATCCCGATTTCATTTAGTTATAGGGATGATCTATCTTGGATGCAAATTTTATGGATAAAGGTAAAATGGAATTTGGGAGCATGGGCAACACAAGATATGGAATTTGAAATGTTATTTGACAAAAAGAGTCTTCGTTTGAGAATGCTCTTGATGCCTTAATTTTTAGTTTTTATATTTGTTATTATTTTAAAAATATATAAATATTAATTAAAATGAATATTAAATATTAAATATATTATATATTTTAATATTAAAAAATTTAAAAAACTTAAAACCACGGTTTCAATTTAACACTATCAAACTAATCCAAAGTTACCAATGACAAAATTTTCATATATCCAAACTTTTTATTAACTTAAACCATATACCTATGACTCAACTCCAAAAAAAGAATTTACTAATGATGGAGAGAATATGTGGAGAGGTTAGTGGATATATACCCACATCTCAGAACCACAACATATACAATATAAAAAGGGTGAAGATAGAAGATAGAGAATGATAGGGTTGTCCTATGTGCGCTGCCCATATTGGCCTACCTTTCCAAACACCCATCCCAAACTCCAATAATGTGTATCCAGCATCTTTTGTATTCACCTTCCATTGCATTGGCCTACCACAATTTCTTTTAAATTAGCAATTATCCCTTTCTCTCTTTTCTTCCTTTTTTTTTTTTTTATTATAAAAAAGGCTAAAGTTTATTCTATGCTTGGATTATAGTTTATTTGTTGAAATGGTGTTCAAATTTTTTTGTGCAGTGTATGAAAATAGAGAAGGCACACAGAAGCAAAACATGATTATGTTTAATTTATTTATTATAAACAATTAATAGTTAATAATTAATAATAATAAAATAGTTAATATTAATTTAAAATTATTTTATAAATTGATGTTTACAATTTAAAAAAGAATTATTACTTTTTAAAAACAACCAAAACAACACATCGGTGATTTTATTTTCATTTTATTACTCATAAGATGTGTGCATGAAAGCCTGCAGTAATGAATTGAACTGATGGTAACTAATAATAATTGGGAAAAGAATGGCATTTTTTCTCCATGTCAAATATGATATTCTAGGAATATTATTTCATGGTAGGTAAGCAAAATTTTCATTTGAAACAAACAACAAGAACAAAAATTTATTTTCTAAAGTGGGAAGAAGCTTCTCCCCAACAATTCCAAATCCTGCCGTTGGTTTTGACTAGTTGGCACAAAAGGTACCTTGCTTCAAGACAACTTCCAAATTTCTACTACTATTATTAAAAGGAAAATGAGGTGTGCACACTCGGATCTAACACCCGGATGTGCACACCTCCACATAAAAAAAAATTGAATCGAGTGTTCTCATTTTTTTTTTTTTTGTATATGAAGGGGTGCACACCCGAGTGTTGGATTCGTGTGTATACCAATTATAGTCCTAAAAAGAAGAAAAAGAAAAAAAGATTAAATTTTAGTAAAGCCATGAATTGTCAGACAGATTTTTGGCTGACAATTCATGGCTTTACTTGACAATTCATGACATTAATAGTTTGACAACAAGATTACTCAACATAATAAATCAGCTACCCTAAGTTTCCTTGTATAAGATATCATAGATTTTCTAACCTTACATGGAAATTTTTATTTTTTATAAAAAAAAAATTAAAGATAAAAAAGCACAGTGCTCATCAATCTCTCTCTCTCTCTCTCTCTCTCTTTTTAGGCATAGATTATAGATTCAACCATTAATTATAGTTAAGCGTAGAAACAATTTTACTACAAAATTACATATAATATTGTTTTAGATGCATTTTTTTGTTATTTATTTTTTGAAAAATTTATATAAAGGTGCAACATATGAAGGCAATAAGAAATACAAAAATAATAGAGTTATAATGTAATACTTACAAGC